ATGGAAAAAAATGCATAATTTAGAATTCTGTAACAGAAATTGTCTCATTAAATTAAACAGAAATAAAAAACAGTGAATTTAGGGCTGAGATGTAATCAACTTATTGAAAAAAAAAAATTGAGGATGAGAAAACGATTGACAAACCTCTTTGCTAGTCCAAATGCGGAACCCTACTTCGTTTTTTCTTGTAGCACCTTCAAAGTCAGTCAACATTCTGTGTTGTTCTACAAAAGACATTTACGAACACAGAACGTCATAAAATACCTTTATTGTAAATTTCTTCAACACAAAAAATCCAGAACCAAAATATTTGACGAAATTCTATTAAAAGAAATTAAATAGAGGGAGAGAGAACATTGTATACCGCAACTTCTGTACATATACACTGGCTCTGTCCCACAACAGTAGCAAGGGCAATGGCAAGCCTTTATTCAAGCACAAACAGTCAGCTGCCATTACCAATTCAAAAGCCTGTTCAATCCCATCACAGGAGAGAAATACAATCAAAATTAATAAAAGGGAAAGAAATTGAAATACAGTGGAGGTGATTAAAAGATGTAAACCTTGTTTCTATTTCAAAGTCCACGAATAGATGTAATTGCACCATTTTGTTGTGGTCCTGCAATGCACACAGTCATCAGCTTCACCCAAGCAACTCTGTGTGCCAATTCAAATCCACCATGAACCAATCCATAAGCTCAAACATAGAACCCAATCATATGATAAACCATCACACAAAAAGGCTTAATTTTGGTCCAAAAGGGCAATTCGAGGATATGGTTCTTACTTGAAATGCTTTGGTGAGGTTGCAAAATCACCTTTTTCCTCATGCTCAAACCCTTCAACAACCAAAAAACAATGAAAGGAAATTTTCATTGTTATTCCAAGCACATGCAAGAAAGAACAAAGGCACCAAATTTTCAATCCAACATAATTATAGAACAAAGACTCAAACTTTTGCCTTTATGTCCTTGAGTTTCCACAGAAACCCAAGTGATTTCAATAAAAAGTACTAATGTTATTAAGTGGGTGACCTCAAACGCTCTTATAAGCATAATTATTGAACTCCTACCTACAAAACAACAGTAAAATGTTTTAAAATATGACATTTTCTATTTTTTTCTTGCATTTTCTTCGCAAACAAAAGGAGGGTAAGTAGGTTTCTACATATTTTATACAGTGTTAAATCAGATTTTTTGTTTGAATGATCTTATATTGAACCAACCATCTTTACCTTCCAG